CTACAGGGTCAAACATATCACAACCCAAGGTTTTGGCCGCAAAGGCCTAAGATTCTCTAATCCTTATATCAAGTATTCAAATATTCAGTGATACATATCACAACCATAATCTCAGAGTCTTATAATCAATTTCCCTAATTTCTAAATTAATTCACAATCAGATTTGCCCTTATAGGTTTAGGCCACGAAGGACAAAGGTCATTCTTTCCCCTCTCTACCCTTAGAATCCTTACGGTTACCACTTCCATGATAGATCTAGGCCACGAAGGCCATAGATCACTCGTTCGCATAACCTTCTAATCTTATCACTGTCAAAATCTCAATGATAGATTTTGGCCACGAAGACCAAAACCCTTTTCCCCCATAGTTCTCCCTAAAACCCCCAAACCAACCATAAACACATCGAAAGGCATACATAGAAAATCATGAACATTGATACTCCCCATACCTTAGTCGATTCGCAACTTTCACGATTAACTTTGGGATCTTCTGCCTCCAACCTTTCCTTCAGAGCTCTGGCCACCAAACTTTTCACGGTTAACAAATGAATTTTAAATCTCTTCAGAATTCTATTTTGTCCAACTTAGTATTTGGCCTCACAAATTGGGCTTTTCCATCATTACCCTTACTAACTCCTCCAAATTCCCAAATTACCCTTATTCCTCTTATATTTATTTTAATTCATAATAATATTAATAAATCCATATTTTATACTATTATTCCAAAATAAATACTCCACAAAGCATAATTCCTCAATAATTCACAAAGCCACCGAAAAACACTGAAACCGAATATTCTCAATTAAATCAATTAATTAAAATATTCCGATTAAATTCGGGATACATAACGCCTATTCATAGGCCGATTTCAATCAATAATTTTCCTTCAAAAGCTTTTCTCTTGTTTTTATTTTACTATTTTATTTAGACAAAAGTCTGATATTTTGATAAACATTGCATATGAAAATATTGAAGCTTTACAGAGCATGCTAAAAACATTTGAAATTGCATGAAATTTTGAGTGTCTCGGGTGGTAATCGAGGTTTCCAGGCTGTACCTGGGACACACTGTTATGTTGTTCCACCTTTTGCAGGATTGTTTTCCTCTAATAGTAACTGGTGCACCGCTCAAAAAATTGGAAGCTCGAGAAGGTATGAGTTCCTTGTGTATATCTCCCCGGCAGGGACCTATAAGGTTTTATCTTCCACAGCAGGGTACTATGAAAGTCCTGACTATTTTCCCCAACGAGGGTCTAGAAGTTTGCTTTCCCCATCCAGGGTTGGAATCGCTTGTTCCTCCCTAGCGAAAGCTAAGAAGATTTTATTTCCCCAGGCAGGGTCAGGGTGGTTTATTTGCGCTTTCCAAGTAAGTTTATTTCTCCAGCAGTGGTGATTCCTTATCCCTAGTAGAGTAAGGTGGTGGATACCTCTAGTTGGACCATGTCAGCAGTAAGATGAAATATTTTACTTTTTCCCACAGGTATTTCTTGACGGGAAATCCTCATTAGTGTCGCCATCCTTGCAGAGGAGATCAGATGGTAGCTCCCTACTAGATAAAGCTCAATAGTTATTGGCATTTCCCAATATTGTGCTCGATTTTGTACCCAAACAGAGTAATGTGCATGATATTATTCTCCAACGGAATTGGTATCATCATCGGTTGTTAATTTCCTCAGCAAGATGGAAACTAGTAGTGATTGGTATCCTCAGCAGGTCAAAGCTCAATCATCATTGAAACATCTCCTCATCAGGATCTCGGTGATCCTTCCCCAGCAGTCTTCTGTTGTTCTTGCATTCCTCATAGAGTGGAAGTTTAGATGGGTGCTCCGGTAGAATTTATGGCTCGAGGGCAATTGGGTTTGTTATCTCCAGTGGTCTCGTCTGTGGCTTTTCAGCATCTCATAATTATCATCACATTGCATCCTCAAAACGCGTAACATTTCCATCTGATATGAAACATTGCACCATGGAAAGAAAATTTCAAACATGCATATGAAGCATAAGCCATTATTGGTACCCTCTATTCTAAATCATGTCTCAATCAGAGAATGGTGTAACCTCAGAGAGATTGTCCAGCTTTTTCCCCGAATGGATGTTCCGGTCAATATGTAAGGTCACAGATTATCCGTCAATCTTACCCTCTAGCTGACTTTTCCTCTCAGTGGAGTCATATTTTTCTCCCCTACAGGGTCGACCGTTTGGGATTTCGCTTCCCCCAGTAGATATATCTTCTTTTCGCTTTAGATCGTAGGTTTGTTGATTCTAATTCCTGTCACCCATCGTTCGGGTGTTAGATTCGTTGATTTTTTCTTGGAGTCGTAAATCGGTTGATCTTACTTCTTTTCTCTTATTGAAAGTCCGCCTTCGGTCGATATTCTGTTCAAAATCCAGTTCTCGACTGGTATCCGGTTCCTAATCGAGCCTTTTTGTAAATCCAGTTCTCGACTAGTATTCAGTTCCATACCAACTTTTTTCAATATCTAGTTCCCGACTGGTATCTGGTTCCCAACCAACCCTTTTGTCAAATATTCAGTTCTTGACTGGTATCTAGTTCCCTTTTCTTTCCCCACAGAGTGCAAATTTGTTGGTTCTTTTTGTATTCAATCATCTTCTACCTAGAATATCTGAAAAAAATGTTACTATTCATACCTTCAAGTTCAAGTTGATTGAATAGGGGCAACTGTTGCACCCCAAAATTTTTCCTCTTGTTTCTCTAACCTTAACTAGCTTATGTTAGCATCCATACACATTAATCATGCATTAAATTGGGCTTCTAAGACATGGGATCACAATGTATTTCTGGCAGTTCATAACTTTCTTCATTTCAGAGAGTGTTTCAATAACAATCAGAGCTAAACATACATTCGTTAGAGTCTTCAAACATTTATTTTTCTCAGCAGATGGTTTGATTATTTCAAAATCAGTAGCAGAAAGCCCAAAATTCGTATGATCTTGTTCCAGACAAGTTTTCTATCATGTTTTGGGCATTATTCAAGGGCGTTATCAGCGGCTAAGGTTCATATGTGAAGCCAGGCTCATAGTAGGTGGCAATAGGGTATTTTTGCAATTTTGTCTTGACGTAATCGATTAACCAAATCATGGTAATCGATTACACCCCATCCCGAAGGCCCCAAAATTCAAATTTTTTAGCATGTAACCGAGTAACACATATCATGTTAATCGATTACACCTAGTGATTTTTGCCAAACATAGCAGATTTTCAGCACTGTAGCAGTTTAAATTTATTTCAATCACTTGTATTCAATCTTACATCAGTATAAGGATCTAAAATATTGTAAATAATTTCATTTTCCCTTCATAATTCAAATAAATTCCACTCTTAATTTCAAACCAAAAATCCAATCCTCATTTAAACCCAATTTCCAAACCTCATTTTAATTCCATACCTAAACGATATTTAAACCAATCTACTCCATTCCAAGAGGAGGGAATTCATTTTTTTCTAATTTTTCTACACTCCATACTCAAATTCTCTCTCATTTTTCACTCTCCATTTTCATCTTCATCCCTAACCTCACCAAAGCTCTATCATTAGAGTTAACAAATTCTTCATTGGATAAATAAAGTTCGATGACGACTTTGTGTCTTCGCCGGTAATTTTTTACGGTAGCGACACATAGGAAAAAACTTTGTTGATGTTAGCTATAAGATCCATCATCAGAATTTAAGTTTGACATGGTTGAAATTGTCATTCAAGACATTAAAGAAGTAAGTCACATGTTTTATTTTCGTGCTTTTTGATTGCAGACTAGCTCCATAAGTGCAGGTAGGCAAGGATAGAAGGATTTCAAGTTCTTCACGTAAAGTCTTTAATTCATTGAAAAAGCTACTTAATGATTTGTCACATTGGCGCATGAAATTATTTTGTTGTAGAAGGTAAGAAAGGTGAAAATGATCAATTTTAGAGAATCTATTTTACAGTTTGTCTCATAATATGGAAGCCTTTAAGCATAAATCGTGATTTGTGAAATTTCTTGTGAGAGGCATAGAGAAGGCCAAGAAAGGACACTATCGTTGTATACTTCCCAAGTATCAAATATTGGCTCAACTGCAAAGGATTATGGTAAAGTTTCATTGAAAAATTTGAGATTATTTTTTCTGAGGATGGCTTTCTACATTGCACAACTCCAAAATTCATATTTTCTTTCAGACAAGGAAGGTGAAACCAAGATTGAACTCATATTTTTTTTATAATGTATGTAGTAAGAGCTTGGTTGATCTAGAGATGGGTTTTTGAAAGAGTGTTGATTATTGTTATTGTTGTTAATGAAGGAAAAATCTTCATGATCGATTGGATCCACCATTGTTTCTTAGAGGTAGACAATAAAGCTCAGTTATGGAAGAAGGTAAAATGTTGGTGTTATTCTATATCTGTTAATAATATAATACGACATAGAGTTATGTAACAAATGAAGTATTAAGCTTGCATTAATACAAGGAGTATGCACCTATAATAAAAAATATCAAGAAAATAGTTTTTAAAATAGTTTAACTATAGTTAGAATACCACTTTCCTTGTACATAATATTTTGTATAATGAATTAATAAACAATTTTGTTGGGGTGTAGAGGTTGGGGCTAATAAACAATTGAGTTCCATTAAAATAAAATTATCACTTATTTGGAAGTTATCCTAAATCCGTTGTTTCGACAAAAAAATATAACTTTCCTTATACATAATATTTCTTACACAATGTTTCAAATCACCATAAATTTTTAAAAATCTTACACTATTATATATAATTTTCATATGCATGGCCAAGAAAAATTTATGAACATCCTCAAATTTCTTTGACTCTCTATACTTTCGGACAATCAATAATCTCCTTCATTGTCTTCTATTTTTAATTTGTGGTAGATATATTTTATTTAATGGCTAATTATAGAGTAAAAAAGAACTATTTAAATACATGTAACCACCTAAGAAAAATTAAGTTGTGAATAACATATTTCATCAACTTCTTATTATTTACAACGTAACTATGACAATGACAAAGACAATGTTGGTTGTATTCTTCAGTGCCCTTTTGGTTTGCTCTTTATTTCCACAAAATGTTGACGCCGCAACTATTGGTTATGGTGCAATGAGAAGAGACACTATCTCATGCAACCGAAAAAATCCCAACAGTTGCAAACCGGTTGCGGTCAACCCATATACAAGAGGATGTGAGCAAGCCAATAGGTGTCGTGGTGCAAAGTAAAGGAATAATGAGAAGAAGATAAACAACAAAAATAATATGTGGTATTTCATCACACACACAAAAAATAATACTTTGTCATTCTCTAATAGTTACTACGGTCATGCTACTCTAAAATGAATTGAATCATTGTTGATATCTTGAGTATCAATTTTTGATTAGTTATATTACATACAATTTAGAGTAAAAATATCTATTTTTTTTATTATTAAGATTTGGATATGTTGGAGTAGTTCCAAAGTCTACATATTGTATACCTTTTGTATTATTTGAAATCAATGTAATACATAAGAGATAATGTGTTCTTTAAACTTATTAGCATTTGTTGCATTTATGTTTATTTATTTATTTATTTATTTATTTATTATTATTATTATTGGATTGAAAATATTCTTTATTTTTTAAGAAAATTAAAATTTTAATTATATACAAATTTTAAAATATCTAAAAAATATGTTACTTTTTACGAAATTCAACTTATTTCATTACGGATAATAAAGTTAATATTTAAATTTAAAGAAAGGTTATACAAGTATTTTGAAAAATTCCAACCAAAGAAAGCTAGTGACTTCCATTAAATTTATCAAAATTGTGGAAGAGCATAAAAACACATGAAATTATGGAAGATTAACTTGCTCAAGTAACAAAAAATCAAGATATATCAAACACAATATGGTATTTACTTAAGAGATGTGGATATCTCATGACCGAGCAATATGAAGTATTGTTCATAGATCAAGATGAGTTTATCAAACATCATTGTTTCTGAGTCTGAGAAGTTGATAGAGGTTATGAAATCTAAAATAGATTTATGCATACAAACCATGGTTAAACTTTAGTATAGCCTCTTTAAAAAATTAATCCTAAAAGATGTAAATGGTTTTTTTTTTTAAATTGACGGTAAGGTATATATTTATAAAGCAAGATAAATTTATGATGCATACCTATAGAATATTTATTTGTTTTTTAAAAATCCACTTTGTTTTCTTTTCAGATATTGTCTTGACTCCTTTATCAATGGTAGAAATTGAAGAGATGAATTGCATCGATGTTCCTTTAGTGGAAGGTCCTTTCACTTGGTTCAATAAAGCAGGTACTTCTATGAGCAGATTAGATAAAAAAAATTATTTTTTAAAGTTTGATTGTAGAATAGAAGATTGTTGGTCAGTATGTATAGGTAATAGGGATATCTCAAATCATTGCTCCATTTGGTTAAAAGCAAGTAACAAAGATTGAGGCCTAAATCGTTTAAATTTAACAGTTGTTGGCTTAATCAACTAGATGTTTCTTGTTCATCAAGAATCAGAGGTAGTATTAAAAGGTAATGGAAAGAGGAGATTATGTTTTGAAAGAAAAATTAAGACTTTTGAAGATCAGTTTGAAGAAGTAAAACGTAGAAGTTTTTGGATGATTAGACTTGAAGGCTGATGTTGCAGTGTAAGAGCTGAACGATCTTGATTTTCATGTTAGCAATTTTGATGTCTCTTCCATAGATGATCTGGTTTTGACAAGGGGTTTAACATCATCGGAGGTGTGGAATCATCTTAATATGAAGGAGAGTTTGTTAAGGAAGAAATCAAGAGCGTTGTGGTTGAAGGAAAGAGACATGAACTTTGGTTTTTTTCCATAAATTCATGAAAGCTAGATATAGAAGAAATTTTACATCCTTTGTCAATTCTCCTGAAGCATGAAGGAGAAAGTGGGTGAGATCAAAAGAGAAGTACGCAATTATTTCGAGGATAACTTTCATGAGGTGGACCGATCCAGACCGGTGCTCAATGGAATGGATTTGCTTAAGTTCTCCAATGAAGATAGCAAGATGTTGAAGATGGTATTCATAAAAGAAGAAATCAAGGAAGCAATGTGAAGTTGTAATAGAAATAAGATCCTTGAGCCCAACGATTTCAACTTTAGTTTTTTACATGTTTGTTGGGAGACAGTTAAGAAGCATGTCATTCATTTTGTCTTGGAGTTCTACTCTAACCCTACTCTATCAAAGGTAGTCGCGACTTCATTCATCGCTCTTGACCCTAAGATCAAAAACCCTCAATTTTTGGTTAATTATAGACCTATATGTTTGGTTAGCTATTTTCGTAAGACTTTGTCTAAGATCTTGGCTACTCGGTTAAAGAAGATCAGAGCTTATGACTGTGCTCACAAAAATGAATTTCGCTGAAAGCTGGATAGCATGAATGGAGGCCATTGTTCTCAAAGGATTTACGGCAATTCTTATTAATGGAAGTACAACTAAGGATTTTGTGGTGGGAAAAGGGATGAGGCAAGGAGGCCCTTTGTCTCCATTCCTCTTCATCTCAGTTATGGAAGGCCTTACAGGGTTAATGAAGAATGTGGTATGTTCAAGATTATTCAATGATTTTAAGGTGAATGAAGAGATTACTTACATCATTGTTCAGTTTGCAGATGATACCCTTTTATCAGAGATAGCAGTTCGGATAATCTTTAGTGTGCTAAAGCCTTTCTTAGAGGATTTGAAATGATTTCGGGTCTTACGATAAATTTTCATAAGAGCAACATAGTTGGAGTCAATTTGAGTTCTGAATTTCTTGAAGCAGCTTCGGTTTTTCTGCATTGCGGAATTCGTTAGCTTCCATTCAAATATCTGGGAATTTTAGTGGGAGATAGTCCGAGGAAGGCTAAGATCTAGAAACATGTGGTCAACAATTTAAAGAAAAAAAACTATTTGTTTGGAAAGGGAGAAATTTGTTAGTAGGAGGTAGAGTATTGTTAATCATCTCGGTGCTTAATGCAATGCCTATATTTTCATTGTCGTTCTATAAGACCCTTGCATTCATCCTTAAAGAGATTGTTAGTATTCAAAGAAATTTTTATTAGAGAGGGAAATCTAATCATAAGCAAGTCCATTGGATTAGTTAGAAATCAGTTTGTATGCCTAAAAAGAAGGGAGGTTTGGGGATCAAGTGAAATTTTGGCACGCAGATACTAGATGACGAGAATGATGTCACAACAGCGGGATCAAGACAATTTGATCACAGAAGTAAATATGCAGAAACTTAAATGGCAGAAAGATAAAATAACACCAATAGTTATTAACCCAGTTCAGTGCAACTCACCTATATTTTGGGGCTACCAAGCAAGAAAGGAAATTCACTATGATAGTGTTAGTTCAAAGTTAAACTCTCCCATTAAAACTTATCTCATAATCACTATGTTGTGCAACTTCTACCTAGACACCTTCTAGATGTGAGACCCCCCTCTCACTTCCTATCAATCACAAATCAGTGACAATTCAACAACAACCCAAAATAGAAGTACCAACACTTTTAAGTACAATACTTAGGTTTGCATAAAAACTTCAACTAAGAACAATACACTCTTGTGTAAAAGCTTAGAGTGAACAATTAACAATTAGTCAAATCAATGTATTAAAAATGATACAAGATTGACATACAAAGTAAAAGACATTAACCCCTAGAGAGACTCCAATGCACGACTAATCCTTATTCTTTAAAATCCACACATTCTTTAGGTTTAGAAACCCCTTTAAATAAGCATTACAGGTGGATGGACTTGGTCTCTCAAAATAAAACACAAATCACCAGGAATCAGCTATAACTCAATTGCATAATATCCTGCATAATAATAGGAACAATAACATAAAGTTTCCTAAAAAGGCTCAACGATCTTTTAAAAAAAACAATCAAATCTATCACAACGGAAGTTCCCAAATTATCCTCCCTTGGATAACGCAAACGTGTGAATTAAAACACACTCACAACTCACACTAAAATACCAAAATAGTCCAGACCTAGACTCCTGGTTGTCGCTACTGTGAAAAAAAAGTGTCAGTAATGACAGAAGAGTCGCCACCGTTCGTTATTTATCCCAACACGAGGGAAAGGAAACGATCAGAGAAAACCAGCGAAACAGGATAAGATTGGTCATCACAACCAAATCTCGGGTTCGGGAGTCGGTTACGCAAGGGGAAGGTATTAGCACCCCTCACGTCCGTCGTACTCGACGGGATCCACGCTTGGTTGTCTATCTAGAAAGGGTGATTGAAACTATCTAACAAAAGGTTTCAGTGACAAAAGAAAAGAAAAGTGACTCGGCAGAGCATCACCGCTCTGGGCCTACGTATTCCCTCGTGCAATGGGAAAGTCGGAGTCAACGTAGTTTGACTAACTATGGATGAAAGGGGGAAATGTTGCTCGCCAAGACATCACCGTCTCATGCCTACTACTCTCAACAGGTATGAGAGATCATAGCAAACGTAGTTCGGGATAAAGGGAACACAGGTTTGTTCATCTGTTTTATCCGAGTAAAGTTAAACTATCGTTCTAGCAGTTAGGGACGACGCCTGTTTGCGGTAGAACCAAAGCTTAACAATGCTCTTTTATCTGAAAAGATTTTCCTTGTTAAAGAGAGCCCCAAAGGGCAAAAGAGGAGTTTGACTTTTTGTTTTTGTCTTTTATTAGAGAAGTGTTTTGAATGAATGTTTATAATGTATGTTGTACTAAAGTCTAAAACCTAGGAGAGAATGCGTCGCATATTGTCCTAAGGACATATACTAAACACTCTAAGTAATTGAGAGGTAACCCCCTAATCACTATTTCCCAAGTACAAGGCTCATGGCACAAAATCCAATATCTTATTAAGTATTTTGAAGTTGTTTGAAGATGAGAAAGAGAAAGAGGACAAACTAAAGGGAACTAAATCAAAACCCTAAAGTTATCATGCATCATGGTCCTAGGGTTAGGATTAAGAAGGGAACTCTATCCTATTTGTTATCATGCAAAGGATTCAACCTAATGTCTATCATCACAATCCTTAAACAAGGAAGTGAGAATTCCTAAGGGAACATGTTAAGAAAAGAAGAAAAGGAACAAAGCATGAAATATGAATATGAATGAATGCACATGCAATGCAACATTACAAGCAAAGGGAGGACACCTAAACCTTTAATGCAAACAAGAGATACACTAAGAGAAAACACACAAGCAAGGGAGGAAATTGTGTGGGGT